ATACAACAACAGATGTGAAAATGAGTATGACCCATCAATCATTCCCAAGAAGAGGCACAAAGTATCAGCAACAAGGCATCAAAATTACTGTGGCATAGCATGTATGCTTGTTCAGAAGAGCCTGTCTGCACAATCTATTAAGCACCCATTTTTGTTTGAGAGCTAGGGGAGAAGTTTTAAAAAGGCCGGAAGATCTCATACAGTGCTGAAATTCTTTTCTAGAACAATGTGAGAGAATGGACAGGCACACATCAAAATGCCTCTGCAAACTTACAAAGAGGAACAAAGATTACGGCAGATAACATGCTCAAAAATAGACTGCCTTTGATCAAGGGAGCTACACTCTGTTATCATGGCTGAGTAGTTGCTGAGAAGAGGCCTCCATGAATAAAGTATCTCTTGTACAGAACATGGATATGCACAGCATTTACAAGATACTAGTTATTCAATGCCAGGAGTTGTTAAATGCATCACTGAGCTTTGAAATCAACATTTCACCACTTATCTGACACAGCAACTCCATGTACATCTTCTTAAAAGTAAGTCCTATCTACAGGGATGCTGATTCTCAAATGAATCATATAAGATGTTGCCTGAAGTTACAAATGAAGTGACATTTTGGGTCTGGCGAGACTGAAATGATGATACTTTGTTCTATGTTCCATCAATCTAACTCTTTTTGTTGGATGTACAATTCCAAGAACTGTAGTTTGGCTGGGAATTCAAGGATGCAGTGTAATCTAGCGGGAAATTCATCAGCATTGATTCCGTAACAGTGGAACACAAAGCATTTATTGACGTAATTTTGCAAACTGAAATTTATATCCAGTGATATTTTCTGCTGCTTATTGCATTCCCTTTTCAGGCTAGTGGTATGGCAGAAACTTGATTTTATGAGCTTATTTTTCACACTGTCATATAGCTTGTTTTGGGATTTTTATTAATTGTGATTTTGGCAGTGAGTTCAGCTTCCTACCTAAAGGAATTCAGAAAAAACATACTATATCCTCATGAATCATCAACTTTTAATACTTTAGTATAACCGAGAAGTACAGTCTTAATAGCTCCTGTTCATTTATACATCTTGTAGGTCTCTTGGTATTATGTAATCTATTATTGCTTAAAAAAATGGGTAGGGGTAAGATTCATGCCAGTGAATAAAAGAATAATAGAGTTGGAAGGGACCTTGGAGGTCTTCTAGTCCAACCCCCTGCTCAAGCAGGAAACTCTATGCCATTCCAGAGAAGTGGCTATCCAGTGATCAAAATATACTTCACTGATCATTGTTGGATTTATGTAATTTATTCAAAGGTCTTGTTTTAAGGTACTGCACAAGGATAATGAATGGTCGATAAATTCAAATGCAATCCTAACAATTAAATCACTATGTCAGCCAAAACATTCATAAATCATCCTTGGTAGAAAGCCAAGCCCAATCCTGAAGTGCCCCCATTCTAAAATAGACAATGGATCACATAAACATAGAGGCATCATTCAGGTTCTTTCTGCCTTTTCATCACTGCCTCAGTGATTTTTAGAAATACTGTGTCATTAAGCTCACTTTAATTCAAGCCATTTGTCTGGAACTTCCCTCAGTTCCCTCTCATTTCCAGTAGTCCAGCTATGAAATGTATAAAAGGAGTAACATAAATCTAATATTTTTTTCAAAAAAATCTTTTCATCCAGAGTTATTATCCATTTGTTTGGAGCTTATAACTGTCTCTGAGTTCCAAAATGTTTAAAAATAGGGTGTTTTTTTAAAAAAAAAAAAAATTACAGCATTCCAAGAATTGCCATTGCTTTGTGGGACTAAAGCTCTGATGGTGAACCTATATGACACACGTGTCACAAATGGGGCTTCTGAAGACTCTGAAAATTGTGTGAGCATTTCTGTGTGATTTCCAGAGGCCCCACAAGAACAGAGCCCTTTTGTGCAACTTCCAGAGAAGGCCTCTGGAGCCTTTGAAAATTGCACGGGAATGCAGGGTTTTCTTGCATGACTTTCAGAGGGTCCATAAAGAGGAGCCCAGAGGAGAGTCTGGAGAGGAGGTCTCTTTTTGTCCATGTATGTATGTTGACATGACAGCAGACGAATTTTCTGAACTTTTGACATACCAAGTCCAAAGATTTCGCCATCACTGAATTAAAAAGGCTTGTCTCTTCATGCCACAAGCAGGGAAGCATTCACTACACTTTCTAGTCAGGTGTCCTTCAAGTTGTAGTCAAAGCATCCTATGAGCCCTTGTTCTCAGCTGTGTTTTTCCCCATTTCATGGCAAAATCTGCTTGGAAAATATATATTCATAAAAGCCCACCTATGTAAGCAAGGGCATGTGGTGAAACCAGAAGGAAGATGAAATAAGTACTGCATGGTCACAAAGATAGGTAAATAAATATATGATCTCATCCTAGATCATCCATAGATTGCTTTCAGACAATTTCTCCCTTTAAAAAAAAAAAGAAAGAAAATATTGGGTTCAAAGTGTAACAAAAAATATGGTTATGTCTTTAAAAGGACTAGAGTTTTCAAGTGTTTTTGATCAAAGTTGAAGAATTCCTTTTACTCATAGAGATGGGCTATCACAATTTTAACATATGTTGTTGCTAGAAATCTTATTTATGCTGCAAAATTGCAGGGTAGATACTGCCATTAAGTGGACGCCATTCTGGGTTACAGCTGAGCAAGGAGACTATGTTTAAGCGGCATACAAATGTTACTTACAGGGGATTATTATTTAAATATTTACATTCTGAAAATAAAAGTGTCAACTACAACTTTTTTCCCACTGATTTCTAACTGCTCACAAGGCAGTCTCATGACTTTTTTTTTTTTTTTAAGGAGAGAAAAGCTGGAAATGTAATTTCTTCTAGGACTCTTCTAAAGTATTGAAATCAGAAGTATTCCTTTAATAATCATGTCAAGTTGGCTTTGCTGACCTGGATTGCATTGCCAGAATATGATTAGATGTCTCGGGTCAATGAACGATTCATTTTTCAAAGATATTAGTTTTGACACTACAGTGCCTAAAATAAATTATCAAATGGCAGAGGTTTCTCCTTGTAAAGATTAATCTCCATTTAGATTCAAACTTCACAATTCTTTCTTTAAAGAGTAGCCTGAGTAGCACACACATGGAATTTCAATTATCATATTAGCACCATAAAGAATTTGTACCCACAAGCGATCAGGTCCACCACTGCTGATGTTTTGAAGTGCTATAGGTGAGAGAGGGAGAGATTTGCAAATCTCAGCAGAACTTGGCAATAAACCTCTAAGAGGTTTATTAAGCTTCCCTGCCAGAGATCTCTTTTAGAAATTGTTGGCTTTTCAATTTTCTTCAGTAGAGCTCAAGTTAGGCTGAATCCTAGAAACTTTCTTCTTTATATTGCCAAAGATGCTGGCATCAAAGTAAACAGTGTTTGGATCAACAACTTAAGATATGCTGACAATACAGTTCTGCTTGCCAGTAAGCATGAAGATCTTCAGCTCCTCATCAACAGAATCATAGAAATATCTGAAAAATACAGCTTGAAGCTTAACACCTCAAAAACCAAGATCATGGTCGTCAGCAAACAATCCGTTAATTTACCACCAATAAATTCAGAAGGAATACCACTAGAAAAAGTGGAAAGGATCACACACCTCTGTTCTAATTTACGTGAAAGCTGGGATATGACCGCTGAACTAAAGACAAGGATCGAGAAAGCTCGAACAGCATTCTTCAAAATGAAAAAGGTCTTCTGCAGTCACGACATCATAAGACTGAAAATCAGGCTTGTCAGATACTATCCTGCTCTATGGAGTAGAGAGTTGGTCTCTGACAGAAGGCCACCTGAAGAGACTAGAAGCATTTGAAATGTGGATTTACAGGCGGTTGTTACATATAAGCTGGGTTGACAAGATCAGAAATGAGAAGGTGATAAGCCGCCTGGGAAAGCCAAGGGAAATCATCAAAACAATTAAAAAACGAAAATTAGAATATTTCAGACATGTGATGCGACACCCAGAAAAATATGGCATACTCCATTTAATCCTCCAGGGAAAGATTGAAGGCAAATGAGATCCAGGCAGAAGATGATCATGGCTTCAAAATCTAAAGGACTGGTTTGGACAAAACTCAGCAGCACTTTTTCTTGCAGTTGCTGATAAAAACAGGGTTTCCAACATGATCGCCAACGTCCGATAACGGATATGGCACAAGAAGAAGAAGATATTGCCAAAGCAGAGTTAACATAACCTCAAATCTCTTGCTTGGTCTTTATCTTTGCTTGTCCTCCACTCAGCCAGGTTTTTAAGAGATGGGAAAAAATGTTCCTGCCAGAGATCCAAGATCCAGAAAGCTGGTGAAATTAGAATAAAAACTGCTAGCAACCCTAGGGGTTAATAACACCAGCAGCAAATATGCCAGTGTTATGCCTCATCCTTCTATATGTGACATTTGTAACTTTGATGTAACTAAGTAATGCAATGTGATATTTGTAACTAAGACCTTTACTCGTTTTCTGTAATATCCTAAAGGAAAATAGGTGCTAAGCAAGCAGCTGGGTTTCTCACCAAAAGCAATGAAGTAAGATCACTGCTGAGAGAAGCTGAAAGGGGAGATCTCAAAGGGGGGAAAAAACCTGCTTAGAAAGAACCAAAACAACAACACTATAACCCAAGCAAATTACCAGACTCTTCTCTGTGTTTTATTCTCAGACTTGACTGAGCTGACAAGAAAGTCAGTCTCAATAGAGAATGAATTAGGTAAAAATTGGCTGCAAGAATTCAGTCTGAATGCTACATTCCTGGAATATGGAATCACAATAATTATCTGTATATAACCAGAATTATTAGATCAAAATCCTTTATTACAATCGCTGACCAGAGATAGATACAGTTCAGCAACAGTATTACAGGGAGAAAGAGAGATAGGTAAATGTGCCATTGGCACGAGACCTGGGACTGACAAGGTAAGAGGTTTTTACTATTTTTGTACATAGGTTATCTTAAATGATTACCTTCATCAAAGTCAGCATCGTCTTCTGTATGCTGAGGGAATGGGAAGCAGTTGGTGATTTCAAGTCTGTCATCCACCACCAAGCCTAGCAGCACACCCTGAACTACTTCATTGCCTTGGCCTTCTTCCTGATAATGCTTGATGATCTTCAGCACCACCTGAAATAGAAATGTTAAATTAGGACAATTTTATTTAAAAAGGGAAACCTAGTTCATCAGTCTATTTTCCAACAACTATTTAAAAAAAACCCCTTGCTTAGATATGAATTGAATATTATATTATTCCAAGACTGGTTATGTATCATAACATACTTAGATGACTAATAAAACAAGGTAGTGCTTAAGGATCATAGAAACATTGCTATGGCATCAGATGAATATATCTGCATATATGTATTGGCAAAAAAATGGTAGGGAATTTCTGGAACTGAGGACAGCTCAGTAAAAAACAGAAATGACAACAATGGCAGAATGAAGAGCCAGCAAATATATCAGTTCTTCAATAGTTCCTCTCTGGACAAAGAGAGAACTTGAGATCACCCACAACTACTCTATGCAACTGCTTCTCATGAAGACATCACAAGACAGTGGTCTCTGGTTGATTTAGAGCTCCAGAAGACAAGAAAATAACTACTTTGCTCAAATCATGGATGGCGCCATTGAAAGGACATTAACTTTGCCTATATTATTTTCTAATCACTTTTGAAAATTGCTTGTTACCTGCTTTTTAGCTATTAGGCACCTTTGGCTGAACAGATTTACAGCATCAGGTGAGTTTTAATCCTTACTGAATTAAGTTTTAACTACAAATATGTATGTATGTGTATATATATATATGTGTGTGTGTGTATATAGACATGTGGAGAGATACAGTTATATAGATATACATAAATCTATCTATCTATCTATCTATCTATCTATCTATCTATCTATCCATCCATCCATCCATTTATGAATAACAGCAGAAGGGTCATTAAAACTCTGATTTTAGAAAGCTACAAATAAACTAAGGGTACAGATAAATTTGAAACAAGATTTTGGAATTAATTATAAAGAACCTTCCCCATGGGAAAATGTTTTTGTTTTGAATTATTTTTTTAAAAAAAACAAGATTTCAAAAATTAGACACTAGAGGGAACTAAAATTTACAATTAAAAAAAAACCCTTAAACTTGACTTACAATTACAGTACAAAGCAAAATATTTTAACACTGAGCACATTAAAGATATTTTTCAGTAATGAATCCAGAAGTTAATTTTAATAGTGTGTACCTCTATAGATGGATTGTATTTAAAAGATGTAATAGAAGAAGAACATGTTCAACTGACAAGTTCAAAATTAGCATGGAAAAATATATTACACTGGACAAACAAAAGAAACTGGTTATCTTAATAACTAAAACAGATATACAGACAATAAGCCAAAACAGCGAGCTGGATAATTTCCTATATTGGATTTACCAAAGATGCTTGTTAAATTTTTGAAAAAAAAAATGTCATGAGAGAGATTAAAAAAATAAAAACAAGTTTTACAACAATAATACTTATAGCGTCATATAACTATACCTATAGCGTCATATTGTCAATTTCCTCAACTGTTTTAAATTATTTCACCTTGGTTTATTCCACTTTACTAAATCATGAGAAAATGAGATGATGATCCCAGCCAAGTAACATAAGTCTGCATGTGCTGCAAAAAAATCTCTCCATTGTTAGGAGACGTTGTTTTTGTGCATTTGTGGTATGCCATATGCAAGAGAGGAATTCTGTAGTCACCAGGCTCAGGATCAAAACAAACACATCTAAAAATGTGGGAACTGGAAATAAATCTTCTGTTGCTAAATATTCATACTCAAGGTCTAAGTGATGCCCAGGGCATTCTGGTTTTCCATTTTTCATCCATTCAAAACAATCAAAAACCATTCTGTATTCAAAGAGCATCCATTCACCTGATGACTTTTAACAGATTCCCCTTAGATTTTTCTTTCTGCAGTTCTTTTTAAGTATTGATTTCCATTTCTGCAAATCTTGCCACACCCCTCCCTTTGTCTGCTGAAGTGGTATTTGGCTACGTAAGAAGTAACGAGCAACACTTTGAATTTGTCACTTTGTACATTTAGAGGAGTCAACCTGATACAGTCCAATCAACACCATGCAGTAGGGCTAGTAGATAACAGATAGTGGATGAACACTTCCAAAATTGATATTAAGAGCAACTCTAGGATCAGTTCACCTACAAGCATCTATGGGGAGATATTTTTTTTATACACACTCAAACATTATTTGGGAGCGTGATCTATATAGGTTAAAAAAAAATAACCTAAATGGAATTTAGGCCCAGAAAGACCCCAAATCAATAAGGGTGGGGAAAGCATTCCAAAATAATCCAATCACGAAGTTTTTGCTCCAGCATTTCAGAGACAAAGTTTCTGCTTGACTAATCATAAAGTAGAAGTTGCTTCATTAAACAATTTCTCCTCGATTTTAATAGGCAACACTGAAATTTTCTAACTTTAAGATGAGAAAATGAGAAATGTCATATGCTGCAAGAGTAATCCTCATAGAAACTGTGAAGATCCCCTACAGAAATGTTTCTGGAACGTGTGCCTTGGGAAATTAGTTCTTTGAGCTGCTAAGAAAATGAGTATCAGTATCATTATCACACAGTCATGAAAATGAACAAGCTAATAACAGCTTTGTCCAACCTGAAACCACCAAAGGTTTCTGAAATCATACAATCACTGAACTGGATAGAGCTATCAGGTCTTCAAGCCCAGTGCTCTCTACCCCCAAGCAAGCTATTCAGATCAACAACACACATCAGAGACAACCTTCAGGCTCTGTCTGAATGCATCCAGTGATGTAGATTCTACTACCTTTCTAAGTAACTGGTTCCACCACTTATAATGCTCATTTACAGTCTCAATCATTCCCAGCAACATGTTTAATGAAAGGCTGAGTCAAAACATGAAATTAAGAACTTCCTGTTGAACTAGGAATAGGAAATCATTTTGACTGCTTTTTTTCTTTGTTACCTTGAACCAGCAGAGTACAGAATTCAGAATTTGTACTTTTTTTTTGCATTACTGCTTAAAATATCTGAGAAATATTTACTGTACTATACTAAGATATCTCTAACTACTGGGTTGGATATGCAATTATCCCACTCCACCATTTTAACCTTAAGACATGCATCTTAAATAATTAAGCTGACAAATAGGCCCTTGTCAGACAACTCTACTATATTTTTATATGGTAGTTATCTGAAATAAGCTACAATGGCTGCTCCAAAATTTACAGCTGAGCACTGAACTACCAAGTCTAATAATTTCAACACCAGATCAGAACGAACGGTTGCTGGAATTGGGTATGTTTAGTTTAATGAAGAGAAGGACGAGGAGGGACACGATAGCAGTATTCCAATATTTGAGGGGCTGCCACAAAGAAGAGGGAGTCAAGCTATTCTTCAAAGTGCCTGAAGGAGGACAAGAAGCAAGGGATGGAAACTAATCAAAGAGAGAAGCAACCTAGAACTAAGGAGAAACTTCCTGACAGTTACAACAATTAACCAGTGGAACAACCTGCCTCCAGAAGCTGTGAATGCTCCAACACTGGAAGTTTTTAAGAAGAGACTGGACAGCCATTTGTCCGAAATGGTATAGGGTTTCTTGCCTGAGCAGGGGGTTGGACTAGATGACCTCCAAGGTCCCTTCCACCTTTATTATTATTGTTGTTGTTGTTGTTGTTAAATATCTCTCTTGGATCAGGGACTCTCCATCATACGGTAATTTTTTTATTACAAAGCTGAGGAATGAATACAACCCATGTTGGCAACCTATAGTTTTCAGAACTATATAGGTAGCCTTTGACTTATGAACACAATTAAGCCCAAAACGTCTGTTGCTAAGTGAGACAGCTGTTAAGTAAAAATTGCCCCATTTTACGATCTTTCTGGCCACAGTTAAGTGAATCACTGCAGCCATTAAGTTAGTAACATGGTTATTAACTGAATCTGGCTTCCCCATTGACTATGCTTGTCAAAAGGTCGCAAAAGGTGATCACATGACCCCGGGACAGCGCAACTATCACTAATGCATGCCAGTTGCCAAGCATCTGAATTTTGCTGCAATGGTTGTAAGTGTGAAAAATGGTCATAAGTCTTTTTTTTCCAGTGCTATTTTAACGTTGAATAGTCACTAAGTGAACAGTTGTAAGTCGAGGACTATCTGTAGCTGATTTCTTTGAAGCCAAATATTTTCGGAATTCTCTGCAGACAATGTCATTGTCAATTTTCCCTTGCTATCAGCCATTAGCCCAACATGGAAGCTGAATAGATCTGCTTCCTAGCATCATAACAACTGCCAAAGAGGCAGAGAGAAGTTTAACTTGGTTCCTCTTATTAAGAATTTCAAGGACTTTCTAAGTTCATTAATGATTAATGCAGCCCTTCCAGAAGGGATCAGACCAAAAAGGAACCCATTAAGCATTCCGATATTAATCAGCAAATATAAAAAACTTGTAATTCACTTTCAATGAAATGAGCTAATACACGTTGACAATGGTCGGTATTTTTTTGTAAGTAGTATTTCAATATGTAAACAGCTATTTCCAATTTGCTCTTTTGTTGCTTTTTACAGTTTGTTACAGGCATCAGCTTATTAGGCTTTAAAGGCTGGATAGACACAAAAGAAGCAGAGTCCAATGTAATATTAGAAATATTTCTAAACAGAGCAGTTTGACAGTGGAGCCAGTTACTCAAAAAAGTGGTGGTTCTCTTTACTGGATGTGCTCAAGTATTCATCAGGGATGCTTTAATTCAGATTCCTGCACTTAACAAGGAGTTGATTTGATGAAATCTATGTTCCTTTCCAATTCTATGATGCTAAGAATTATTTTTAAAATGGTTTTAAAATAGAGAAATCTATCCTAAACGCTATCTCCAAGTAAGACAATAGCTTTGGGAGAAACAAAGGAATTACAAGAGGACTTAGTCAACGGGCACTCATAAATATACATACATACACATACACACACAGATTACCATATATACATACATGCATACCATGTCACTGGTCATGTCTGGAAATATTCAAGAAACCATCATGGAAGACAAAATACATGTCTTTCAAAATAGTACTGCATTTACAACCATTTGGTTAA